ACAGTTTGGTGTTGGGATAAAACTCCAGTAATATTCGTTTACCAAGATGGCAAAAATGCCAACCATTACGTGACCGATGCCTTCCACGACGAGTACAACTGCTGGATAAGGTACGACTATTATTCGGTTCGGTCGAGACTGTGCAGGAAGAATACGCGATGAAGCCCCAGGAAACGCGAGTTCCTTATTTGCTGTTCAACAGGCGAAGCGATACGATCCGATCTAAAAAACGCTCTCTTAGGGGGATGATATTGCTGCGGTTGCGTAGAGTTCAGCGTCTGGGATCGTATGAAGTTTCTTTGAGTTTTTATCGAATTTGATATTTTTTTGGGTTCAATGGATTTTTTATTCTTTCATTTTGTTGTAATGCGAAAAATTTACTCAGTGATGTTTTGATTTTGATCTTAATAAATTTAAAGACTAATTTTGAAAAGAAATGTTGAATATTGTTTTTCAATTATTTAATTTGTCAAATGATTATTTGATCAGAATGAATATTTTCATTCGTTTATTTAATTTGCCACATAATTATCAACGATTACTCGATGTTTATTTTACTTTTCAGTCCATCAGATACTTGAGCTAATTCATAATACATTTTTTTTATTCGACCACATCAATTTAATATTGAAATTGTTTTGATGAAATTTGGTATACCCCCATTTGAGAAGGTGCGCAGTCCAATGGTGATTTTAAATTTTAACTAAAAAATCTCTAATACGATTTTTTGTATTTTAACATAAGAAAATATTCGTAGCAGGCCTTGGTTTTCGTAGAAAGATAATGATATTTGATCCCAAAGTACAGTTTTTTGAGCACTACAATTCAAAATACAGTGCTTGGAAATCAGAGAAAAGATGCAAATTTCAGGGTGATGTCCCGCTTTCAAGTTTGTCACACTGTGGAAGTGTTAATTTATTTTGAAAATATTGTATTTCAATAACCTATTTTTTTGAAGATGCTTAGAATTCATTTCAAAGGTGTGTCTGTTAGGCCAAAGTATGAAAAATTAAGAAAGAATTACCAAACTAAAAAATGAACTAGAATAATGTGAATGATGAATTCATAATATGTGTTAACAAAGGATCTATAATAAAAGTTATTCCGAATTGGTTCTTTTTCGAGAAGTTATATATATTATCTAATTTCTCTATTTTGTTATGTGACTCGAAGAGCGTATTCAGTCTATCCATTCGATTATAATCAATTAACGTTAACTGGAAGCCACAAGCTATGAAAATCATCTGGAGAAAATACATTGAACTGTTTTAAAATCTGTTTTTCCGTTAATCAGCTGCCGCCCCCATACGAACGACAACTCTCAGAAGTTGAGAAACTTGTGCGAGCTAAGGACTAACGAGGTCTTACCTTTTAACGTGTGATTCCTAACATTGAATTGAATTGATATTTGATAACCATATTATGAAATACCTAGGTATTATCTTCGATAAAAACTCATTTGGAACGCTCACTTGGAAAAGGTTCCACACAAAGTAGGATCATCCAGTGTAAAATAATCTCTTATATTCGTTGGATATACGTACGTATGTGATTATCGGTTAGACAATCACGTAAGCTCTCTAGTATAGCTCAATCTATGAATACTTAGACTGAAACTTTTGGCAAAATATATCAAGATTTTTACATTTTACGGAATTTATTCATCCTTCGAAGAATGCTACCAAAAAATCGTTGGACTTTTGTTAAAAATCTGTTTTCATTTGTTGGCATTTGAAGTGGTGTGAAACACAATAAACTCTCGCTGGTTGCAACGGATAGTTGAATAAACTCATATTCAACCTAATCCAACCCTAACCTAGAATGTTACTACTGTACCAGGGATTTTGATGGAAATCGGCCATTCGAATCAATACGACTTCGAATATCACATTCTTGTGATATCATTTATCAATTGAAGTGACCTGACATTAGGATATTAAAATTTGAGTGGCCATACTCAAGGAGAGAACTGAAGAATTCGTTTCCAGATATTTCTAAAATGGCCCCACTTTTAATCTTTTTATCTAGGAGTGAAAGCGGCCGTACTCAAGGCGAAAACTCAAGTGATAATTTCTTGATGTCTCTAAACAGTCCCCACTTTTAAGCTATCAAGTATTTATATTTTCCTAATTATATTTCACTCCTATAGAAGCCGCACTCAAGGCGAAAACTCGAATTTATTTGATTTGAATCGATGAAGGTTAAATTCATTTGGAAAAACGTTCTCAGGAAGTTTATTCCACATAAACGCAGTTTTCCAGATGAAAGAGTTCTTGAACAGTGAAGTTCAAGGTGTACTGAGTTGAACCTCAAAACGATGACCGGCTACAATCCGTCGCGTATTTTTGATATGTACCGCTCTTGGTGGAACCAAATGTGCCAAGTCACTTGAACACCTCCCGTGAAAGTACCTATAGTATATAGAGACAAATCTCCAACCTTTCTTCGATGTTCCAGGCTATCAAGGTTGCTCGTGATGTTCGCGTCTCCAATCAGGCGGATGGCTCTCTTCTGGATGGAATCCAGAATCCAGGGTATGTTTGGGGGCAGAGCTCCACACATGAGAACGATACTCCGAAGGTCTGCTCTGAACTTTATAAAGCATCAAAAGTTGCTGAGGTGTGTACAGTTTTCTGGTTCGGAACAGTGTTTCGAGCTTTTGAGAAGCAGCCTTTGCAATTCCAGCATCATGATTGTGCCAAGACATATTGGTGTCCATTTTAACCCCCAACAAACTTATCGAAGCAGAAAACGGAATTGTCTGACCTGACATTATTATATTATATTATGGAGAAAACCGATGCCTGGGTTTTTGTGGCATTGATTTGAAGCTGGTTACTTTCACCCCAATTCGAAATCACTTCTAGATCCTAATTAAGATTTACAACCTTCTGCTGCCGGTGAAGATGTGCCTCCATAGCCGATGTCTTGGAATCCAAATGGAATAACGAGACAAGTGTGCTGTCTTCAGCAAACCAATATATTGGATTCTTGCTTTTTTTCCAATAAGTCGTTGATATACAATGAAAGAGGGTTGAAGGCAATATGGACTCTTGGGGAACAACAGCGTTTTGATCCCGCTGTCTGCCCCTGTGTATGCTTACATCTTCATAACTACGCAACGGATTTTGATGCGGGTTTCTTTAATAAAGTGATTCATGAAGAAGGTTAAGGCTTGTCTTGGAATCCAAATGGAATAACGAGACAAGTGTGCTGTCGTCAGCAAACCAATATATTGGATTCTTGCTTTTTTTCCAATAAGTCGTTGATATACAATGAAAGAGGGTTGAAGACAATATGGACCCTTGGGGAACAACAGCGTTTTGATCCCGATGTCTGCCCCTGTGTATGCTTACATCTTCATAACTACGCAACGGATTTTGATGCGGGTTTCTTTAATAAAGTGATTCATGAAGAAGGTTAAGGCTTTGGCCGCACTCCGGGTAAACCGCCGCGGATTTTAACCGCTTGATTTTATGAGTAAAGGAAACTAATGGACGGTTTTTTCCCGCGACTGATTTTGAAACCGCGAATTGTTACAGGACGGCTAGTGGTAAAAAACCGCGCCAAAATTTGTCGTTCATAGAACTTATATTGGAGCGCACACATTTGACGCGGCAACCGCGAGGGGTTCGGTCATTATTAAGCACATCGTCATGAAGGGTCGCCACTCTTCTGAAATACATAAACGAAATGTTGTATTCATGTAGGTAATGAGTGGACGTACAATATGCAACATTTCATCGAAATTGGCTACTGACATCCGATAGTAGTTGAAAAATTTCTCAGGATGTTTTCTTGTATCTTGATACTTTTTATGAAAGAAATCTTTCTTAAATCTTCGACTAGTCAGTGGATGGACCAATACTTGCGAAATTCTTGATGTCGTTTTCTTTTTTCTGCTTCTTAGTATTAGAGCAACAATAGATACAGCTCTCTTAAAATCCATCTTCAAACTGGAAATCGTGGTCAGTTTCGCGGTTTTCAACCGTAATGTGTGCGTTTCGGGTTGTTTTGCGGTTTGACTGTTCACCGCTTGCGGGAAAAAATCGTACTGCGGCCTCAGCCTTATAAGTATATAACATGTATAATATAGTAGAGAATCACTGATAAATGATTTTTGAGGCTTCTAACGTGATGTAAATGAAAACATTTATTTGCGCTTACATTGCAAACGCTGGCTGAACTCTACGAAAAAGATTAAAATAATGTACATCTTAAAAAGGTCTACAAAAAGAAATAACCAATTTATATCCTTTACTTTCTTACAAAGCGATTTTAAGCAATACAGCAATAATTCTTATTCTTTTAAAACATTGTGCATTTGATATAGATCAATATGACCCTTTACATCAAATAATTCAAATGAATATTCTAGAAGATGTTACAGATTTGAAATGCAGAGACATAGCGGCTCGGCAGTACCGGCCGGGGGGAGGGGCGGCGGCGTATGCCTATAAATAGCACGGCGAAGCTGTGCTTCGCCCTATAGCACTTTATGATTACGAGTACCAGCGATCGCATGCGTTTATATGTATATTTAGTATCAGCATTGCACCCATGCGGAGCCAGGGCGGGTCGCTAGTATATTCATAAACCATAGTTCAATTGGAACCTGAGAAACTTGACTCAGTTGAAGAAGCAAATCCAAATACATTGCTTGTTCAACGAATTTTCTGATTAAATTGAAGTGTTGGGGCCGAACATTTATGAGAATATTCAATATTTCAAAGGTTAAGATTCATGAATACCTATGTTCAAAATCGAAACTTTTTCTGTAAATTGTGTAGCATATAGAACTGCAGCACTTTTCTCGACGCTCTATTCACCCTTCAAGTTGGGGTCATCAGAAGATCTAAACCTTGCATTAATTTTTATAATACCCAAGTTACTCCCTTTCTCAACCAAATTGGTTTGTTGAATATTTGTTGTTTTATTCCTTTATGAATGAAGTAAATTGAAAAATGACCTTTGGAAACCCCTATTTGAAATTTTTTTAGAAAATAAAGTAGTATGTGGCCACGCCATGATGTTTTTCGCAGCGGGATTTGAAACCACCAGTAATACAATAAGTTATACACTTCATGAGTTATGTCTCAACAAATGCATTCAAAATAAACTCAGGAAGGAAATAGTGGATAATATTGAAGAATATGGTGGAATCACATATGAAGGTGTTCAGGAAATGAAGTACTTGAAGATGTGTATCAACGGTGAGTGAATTTTTTGAGTGAGTGAAGTTCTTCCTGACTGAAGAATAATATAGTTGATTATAGTTATATAACAAGTTATATTGAAAACATGATTGTAATCCATTTTCAAGGAGAAATAAAGGCGGTTGTGGTCTTTTGTGTATGTCAAATTCATTCATTTTACAAGCATCTTTTAGTTCTATAAGATGCCGTTTCCACTCGGGCCTAGCGAGTCTATGCAAGACATTTCAGACGACATAATTTCTCTAGAAAAATTGTAGATATCTGCTATTCGAATAATAACCAAATCAAAGAAACACCATCTTTTAACACTCAACACATTCTGCGATGATTATGATTTTGAGTTGTAATAGTTCAAAGTTACAACTGAGGACTACCCTTATATTATACTTTCCGATTATCGCATTTACTTCACTTGTTTACTCGGTCGCTTACTTTGTGTTTTAAGTATTTCGATTTCTGTACTAATCCTTTAATTGAGCTAATATGCCTCTGTAGATAGAAGCCCTCGTATAAACACCACATTCAGGCATTTGTGTGACCTTAGATTTCTTTTCGTTTCGAGGTGTGCTCTTAGAATGCCCAGCTTTAGCTGCCTTCTCTTGTTTTTCCAGGAGAAACACGAAATCGCACTGAGTCCACTTTGACAGCCTCACAATATTTGAAGACTCGCTGTTGTTGTCTGTTTCACGTAAAACAACTTCATTGGAATATTCTGTCTTCACAAATTATTGTCGATAAACATTGAGAAATAGCCTGTACAAAATGAAGCTCAATAGTAGACTGTCCTCTCGAGACCTGCTACTTGTATTGGAAGCGGGTTGGGTTGCCTTGTTTTTCTTTCTTGTTGGCACCATTTCTTGTTACCTAGAACTATTTCAAAGCTTATCGATCTTGAAACCAATTATGTATTGTCTATTTGTCACTGACGGACTTCCTATTTGATGTTGGTGACCCGTGTGAGGAGTTGACGATCTGTGAATCCTCTACGAAGTGGAGTTTGTAGTATATCCTCGAAAAGCTTTGATTTTTTCTCAACGGCTGCTCTGAAGAGCAGCCGTTGAGAAATTCCTCCTTCCTATGACACGAGATCTTGTTCTTTCCCAACAGCTCATTTACAGGTTTGTATGAGCCTGTTGAGTTTTTGATTCAATGTTTTTTTTTCGTACAGAACTACCCTCATCAACCGAACTATCGTTCGGAAGTCGTTTTCGCAGTTGTGAACTCTGGTGCAGATATCAGCCTCAGGACTTACAGTACTAGGACGATAGTATAAGATTTTGAATTAGATCTCATTCCTACTTCAAGTACCTGCAGTGAAGTGTAATTTGAATACGTTATAATAGATTTTCATCAAGTATTGGTCAAATTCTTCACATATTTCATCTTGTCTCTGCTTGTAGGGCGAGTGTCCTCTGCTCATGCCGCACCAATAGGAAGAAGTCGAACTGTCTCTTAAATTTTTCGATTTATTTCTTGTACTCGACCACTGAATGTTTGTATTTGATCTCAGATTCTCTTAACTTCATTTCTAACGTTTTATATCTAAGCTTGTATTTTTTTTCTGGTTTTGTCAGTCGAAAACCTTTGCTGATACTGAACCGTTTCTCGAATTCATTTTGATGGCATTTTCTCTATGCTTCTTAGTGCTTCATTTTGCAATCTGATACCCATAGTCGAAAGTATGAGTAATGTAAAAAATATGTAATTGGTAACTATAGAGGCATCTAACTATTGAGTTACTTTGGTTTGGAGGTGGAAGAGCAAGAGACAATTGAATTTTGTATACAGTGACTTTTCTAAAGTCTCTGATAAGTCCATTGAAGAGATATTGATGACAATGCTGTAAAATATTGGATTTTCATCTGGAAAAAATGAAGTCAGATGCAATGATACATTAGCAAGCAATTTTGGGTAGGATATGTCCAATGTCTACCATTTACTAGTAATGCCAAGAACGATCAAGTCATCTGTTACAGTAGTATTATCAACAATTGATTACTTGATTACATAAACTTTGATCTCTTTGTTTGAATGTGGTTGACAGTGTTTCTTGTTAAATGTTACTATTGAATAGTACGGATTCAAAATCTTGAAACTAGTGAATTCAAATAGAATCGATTGAAAATTATATTGTTGTTTAGAAAACTAAGTTTTCAATCTAGGGAAAAAACTTTTGGCTTTCTACTTCTCATCAAACAACGAACGTGGGAAACTCCAAAACAAAGTAATAAATTATAGAAACAAAAATGTGGTAGTGCAATTACTTTCGAAGTAGTTGATTCACCAGAATGTTTTTCCAATTTGTATCTGAAAGTAACTTCTGTGCTCGATCTGCATGTCTTTGTAGAACAAATTTATTGAACTTTATTTATTTAATTTTTCTTTGGAAGTTTCCACCTATTTAGCTTTAAAGTAGTTGTTTTGGAAGGAATTTTTTTCTAGATTGTATTTGAAAAACACGTCTTTTCATGATTTAGACTTCTTTATGAAGAGTTTCAGTTGGAGTTGATTAATTTCCTCTTTTTGAAAGTTTCCACATTTTTTTGTTTTTTTTTGTTTTATGACAGAGAGTTAGAAAGCCAAAAAACCTTATGACATGATATGATTTTTAGATATTTGAAGGTCACACGGTAACGTTTCAGCTTCATATTGATTTCGGGCAACTATTATCTTTTCGAAATTTTCATTTTCAGAAACCCTGAGAAAGTACCCAGTATTACCATTTTTGGAAAGAATATGCACCAAAGACTATAAAGTGCCAGGGACAGACTTGGTAATTGATAAAGGAATACCTGTTTATATTCCTTATCCCGCATTACATTTGGATGAACGATATTTTCCAGAACCTCAAAAGTATATCCCGGAGAGATTTCTGAATAAAAATTTCAACATGAGTGGACTATTTTACATGCCATTCGGCGAAGGTCCCAGAAATTGTTTGGGTAAGTAAGCGAAATTTCGAACTATCAGTTAGCTAAGAACCTTTTTTTGAACGGTTTTATTTAGCTTGCCCCGTTTCTTTATTTGGGTCAAATTTAGTAATTGAAGTTTGACCCTCTTCCTGTTAACAGATTGATCTGATATTTGGTACACACATTTAAGTTTTGATAACAATACAATTTAATGTATTCTGTAAATCCAAAGGTTTGACTAGTAGAATAGTAGTACGTTTTGAAAAATATGCAAATTCAAGATGACCATAGCTACAAAATAGCGGATTAAATGTTACCTTGTAATACTGAGGCACTTAATTGACTAAACCGAATGAGAACAATTGAGTAACAAAATAAGAAACTATAAACTTGAAAATAAAATAAGTAAATTTTTTTTATATTGAACGGTTTAATCAGAAAAAGATAATGATGATGTAAATAGTGTACTGAAAACTGAAGAATAATTCGGAAAATCCTCCTCACCACCACTCTCCTCAGCAATATATGGTACTGATCAGATCAAAAAATAATATATAATCGTTGGGCGTAGCGTAACCTGAGTAAATATGTAAATGCTACCCCCATAGAGTTTATTATTTTTCATCTGATCAATACCGTTGATTGCTGAGGAGAGTGGACTGCTACCTAGGACCTTCCGAGCTATTTTTAGATTTTAGTATATTATCTACATCATTATCATCTTTTTTGCCAATGAAACCGTTTACCATAAAATTTTTTGAAACTCATTTTAAATTAGACAAAATTACAAGTATTTCTGGACGATACTCCTAAAACACAAAAAGCCAGCATTTGTAGTAGTTTAAAGCAGATGATCTTGTGGATGATCCTGAATATGAATACGAATAAGACGCGCCTTATCTCGAGACTGCAAAAATTATATCTCCTAATTGAGTCATTGTAGTAGGATATATACTGTCAAGTTCAAATGAACGATATTGCAAAAATTATCTCTGAACCAATGTGAACTTGATAGTAGGGATTTCACACTATAGAAGTATACACCAGCCTAGATCGAGTGATTGTACAGTGTTATCCCCAAAGTATGCACCATATGGGAAACTTATTTATTAAGGGTTTTTCGACAAAAAGTTATTTTTGATAAAAGTTTGTGCATCGTCTAAAACTAAAGATGCATCAAAAAATACAGCAAAACACATATTATATACGAGGAGCCTTCAAATATTTGATTTTGAGACAGGGGTAAAATACTCTTATTTTATAAAATCTCAGGAAATGTTATTCAGAAAAGTTGTTCAGCATTGAAAATACATTTAGATTTGAATTCATGCCCATCTTAGTGGGGTTTTATTTTTTTACCCATTTTTTTCAATGGGGAATACGAAAAAAAATTGCTAAAACGATTTATTTCAAAAACCTGCAATATTACAAATTACACAACTATGGTGTTAACCACGGTCAATTTTTTTGAAAAGTAAAATAATTTTCAAAGTTTTTGGTGCAAAGTTATTTTTATTTTTTGTTAACACCGAAAATTACTCAAACTTATACTGTATTGTAATTAGAACTCAATATTCAATAATATCAAATCACAAAACATCAAAATAAAATAGGTATTCTGGAACGAACTCATTGATTTTCTGGAGATTATTTTGGAGAATTATTGTGGACAGGAAAATCTCCAGAAAATAAATGAGTTTGTTTCGAAATACCTGTATTATTTTGATGTTTTATGATTTGATATTATTGAATATTAAGTTCTTGTTACAATACAGTATAATTTTGAGTAATTTTCGGTGTTAACAAATTTCAGCCTGCGGCTTGAACCACCGACTCACACAGCGGTCGATTGAATGAGTGAACAAAGCACCCCCGTCGAACCTACCGGGTACTGGTGAACAAAAATTTCAATTTTCTCAGTGTTAGATGAACAAAACGAACAACATAATATTGACCTGACTAATGGGAACGAAAACTGACTAGCAACAAGACCTCACTGAAATTAAAGGGGCATTACTTCCCATCATGTAGGACAGATCAAACTAAAATTGCATCACTGGTATTCTCGAATAACTTTCTTAGAGTTTACCTGCTAATAAAGAAAATTCTTGCGAAATAATTTGAAAAAAAGTATTTTCTCTATGAGGAACCTTGCACCACTGTTTGTTGGATATAATTCAATAATCGTGGTGGATAGCCGTAGAATAGTTTTTCCGACAGGCATAACAGACTTCCCGCAAAATTAATCAGGATTGTTTAAAGGTGATTGACAATGTTTCATGATAAATTTTACTAGTTCGGACTTCCATTGTCTAATATATAAAATGATTTGAAATCCCTGAAACAACTAAAAAAGGAGAATTAAAAATGAATAGCTGAAAATAACAATTATATTAAGTAAAAATAACCTGAACTGAAAGAATAGTGATTTAAAATACAAGTATCAATAGAACGATTGAACAAAAAATAAAGAATAAATTATAAAAATTATAAAGAAATGAAATGAAAATGAAAACAAAAAGTTAGGAGATTTCAAGCCACGTTAGTTCATGACGTTTCGATTGTTAATATCTACAATCGTCTTCGGATGATGACTGGACTGATTCCTCCGAGAGATGACTATTTATGGGTCATTCGAGTACTTTCACTTATCCATTTTCCATTTTTTCCGCTTCATCAGTGGGAGATGACCGTTTGGCGGGAAGTGGCCATTTTTCGCTTGATGATGGGCTTCCATATGTTGCATATCTCTACGCTAGCTTGGCTGAATACGTTGTTGGACAACATGTATGCGGTTTTCTTGAATTTTGTCCTAAACCAATGTTCCTCTCTGTGTATGATTTCAGCTTGGGACCACTCGATGTTGTGTTGATGGGTCCAAACATGATCTGCTATTCCTGATTTGCTGGTTTCCCCTCGCTGTGTGTGTTTCTTATGCTCGGCAATGCGTAAAAGTAATTGTAAGTACTACTGGGCCTATTAATAGGTCATTGTCGTCTGAATCATCATATGAGAGATTTGGACTGTCGGAAAACAGTACATGCATGCCATCTCTTGAAGATGATGAAAGAAAGAACAGGGCACATAATTTCTATTAGCCCCGCTGCGGATCGAATCAGGTCTTCAGTTTTTACTGTGTAGAAAACTTGAAAGAGATGAATAGTGAAAAATATTTGAAATTGTTATAATATTAATTTTTTTAGCGTATATAGGTATCTCTCCTCAGGCCAGGTATCAGATGTTTTGATCTCTGTTAGACTTCGTAGTATCCAAAAATATTAGAATAGTGTTTGGTTTCCATTTGAAAAAATCGTGTTTCATCAGTTTTCTCGATGTTATGTTTTAGGTGGAAATTTCGACCACCCTGAAGTTGAGAAGGCCATTTTGTAGAACTCACTACTACAAAATTTCAAGTTTTTATTTCAAATCGTTCTCCATATATTCCTAACGAACGCTCGTCGTGAAAGACCCTGTATACTCATTCTATATATCAACTTCACTTATTTTCTGCTCATTCGCATATTCATTAACATATTCAGCTTTTTAAGATCAATGGAAAAAACTGGAGAAAAAGCCATCGTTCTAATATCGAGTGGTTGGGTTTTCATTTACAAGAATCTGCTGTTAGTTTGTATCCCTATTGATCCTATTTACCAAATATATGTTGAACATCAGTTATTTGAATGCAAATAATTCTATTAGGAAAATATGATCCTTAAATATCGTTTACTATGAATGCTACTACATACTATTAAAAAATCAAACGGACGATACATGTAGTGCGTACAGTCTTCATTTTGAATTGTGATTTTTTATATGTATCTTAATTTCTTTTATCGAAAGTAAAAAAGGACGTGTGAATTTTCATAATTGAATGAAAGAATGATTAGGAAAACATTCTTATCATTTAATGTAATGAAGATATGTTTAATTATTCATCTTTTGAAAGAGATACCATAGACCACTACCAGAGTATCCACTTACAAACTTGAAATATTTTCTTAATTTAAAAAGTAACATACATTATTTTCAGGTGAAAGATTTGGAATTCTGAGCACCCAACTGGCTTTAATTAATATTATTTCACGGTTTGAAATAGAAAAATGTGCTGTAACTCCTGATCCTGTGGAATTTTCTGTCAAAAGTTTTTCCAACCAATCAATAGTTGGTTTGCCCATGATTGTAAAGCCTTATGAGGGATATTGATGGTGAAGAAATATATGTGATTACAATGTAGAATAATGATTAAAAATGGTGATTCATTTAGTATCTATCATAGGAATATTTTTTTGGATAGAAAGCACACCCAATTTGAATTCCTTCTCTAACTTTAGACATTTTTCTGACAGATTTGCTGGCGATAACGTATTTTGAATATAAAGGTATTTAAATTCACATTTTAGAATAGAATAGAATATTTATTTCGCACAAGGGACAAATTACAAAATTTGTATAGTACAAGTCAGAAGGAATAGTGTACATTTTCATCCCATTACATATTATATTACGAACAACATATAACATATTGCTAGAGACAGTTATCTCTTGAAAGTGTCCTCATCCACATATTCCAAACCATATGGTTCAGCTGCAATAAGCATTTGTTTTAGTTTGTGTTCAAATACATTGTGCACTTTAATATCTTTATGTTTCCAGGAAGTAAGTTGTAAAGTTTTAGACATTTAAAAACAGCCTTTTTCTAGGAGTGTAGTTTTATGTTGAGGGTAGCAGAATATATTCTTATTTCTCGTGTGGTGCGAGTTGTCATTTCCATAAGGTATAAATAGTGATTTATTTTTGAAGACATAGTTCAGACACTCAAACACATATACAGTTGTTAGAGTGAGAAGGTTCCGATTTTTGAAATATCCTCTACAAGATTCATTTACTCTTAGTCCAGCTAGAATTCTAATTGCTCTCTTTTGGATTCTAAAGACCTCTTCATTGTGTGTGCCGCCCCAGAATATAATTCCGTAGCACATGATGGAGTGAAAATGACCGTAATATGCCGTTCGTAGGGTAGTCTGATTAACGACTTTTTGGAGTTCCTTCAAAGAGTAGCAAACTCTACTAAGGTTGCCGCAGAGCAGTTGAATGTGTTTCATCTAGCACATGTGTCTATCAATGATGACCCCCAGGAATTTGGTGGAGTTAACAAAAGACATTTGCGTGTTATCGATTTCGATGTGTGCTGGGAAATCTCGTGTATTTCAACTATGCTTAAAAAGTATGCAGTTTGTTTTTTCAGTGTTTAGTATTAGTAAGTTTTTTTGGAACCAATCTGATAGTAGGAGTACAGTGTTATTTGTTTTTTTAGTCATTTCTTGATAGTTTTTTCCAGCAATTAGAACGTTTGTGTCATCGGCATAATTTGTTAATGTAACGGATTTATCATGGACTATATATGGTAGATCGTTTACATATAAAATGAACAGGATTGGTCCTAATATACTACCCTGTGGCACTCCTCTTGATATTAAAGCAGTTTCTGAGTGGAGATCTAATGCATTGTCCTTTATACATACCCTCTGGGTGCGACCTGTGAGGTAGGATCTAAACTAATCCTGTGCAGGGTCACGTATACCCATTTTCTTCAATATCTGTAGAAGAATGGCATGGCACTCACAATCAAAAGCCTTTGATTGATCCAAAAAAAACACCAAGTGCCATTGAATCATCATCAAGCAATGATAGAGTCTTCTCAACAAAACTGAATATTGCTGTGGTTGTCGACTTTCTTTTTTGAAATCCATGTTGGTTGTTCACAATAACCTTATTAACATCTAAGAAAGGTATAAGTCTAACACTCATAACAATTTCAAATAGTTTGAAGAAACTAGACAGCAGACTGATAGGTCTATAATTATCAATTACTAGAGGATCACCCTTTTTAAATAGAGGAGTAACAATTGCCGTTTTCAGTCTAGTTGGATATGTTCCGTATTTCAAGGATTCATTCAATATGTATGTTATAGGTTTTACAATGTACACACTGATTTTTTTCAGTAGTACATTGCTAATGTTATCTTCCCCTGATGAATATTTATTTTTAAGGCCATTTATAATGTCTAATACTNCATTTCCTCTTTTTTTCCAGAGGTGCTGCGACAACAAATCTTTTGAGTTGTTTCTGTTCACCCGGAAGCTCTTTTGCATCCTTTTTGAACCCAGGTTTTTTTGATATATATATTTTATGATATGGTCTTCGTTCGCTGCTCTTTTTACTCTATATACATATAACCACACTCTTCGTTCGCCTCCAGAGAAACCATAGTGTTTTTGTCTCTCATTTCTTCTGTTAATAATTTCAGAAGTCGAATTTCCAACTTCAACTTCTCATTTTCATCCACTATTTTCTGTTGGGCTGTGTTGTTCCCGCACTTTTTCCTATGACCATCTCCAAGACTACAGCAAATGAGTTTACCGTCATTTACCTTGAGAAACATTTTTCTTGCACAACTCGGATGGTAGATGTTGAGACAATTTTCACAAACAGCAACTTTGCTCACTTTTTTCGCGCAACATTTAAATTTAAAGTGAGTATTATTATCTTCAGCATTTTCCTGATCACTGTCACTTTCGGCCATATTGAACATTGCCATATAATTGCCATAGAAAAAATCATGTAAATGATTTCATTCAATCAATGATTGACTGTTTTTGCTAAGTGTATCAACAGATAATAACAGTTAAAATGAGCATTACCGGTAAAATTATTTGTTTTTCGAATAGAACATTAGTTATAAATGACGAATACTATTTGTTAGTGTTTTTTCCTACCAATCATTTCGGTAAAAAAACACTGAAAAAAATCAATACTTTTCATGGCCATATTATCTATTACTAAAAAGGTAATTAATTACGTTGATTGACTACTATTTTCTTTTCAAGAAATATTTTTTTCAATCAAATGTTTCCCAAATGTAGTTGTTTATTTTGATCCAGGTATGAATTACAAGACTACTTTGAAACAAATTATTCAGTTAGAAAAAACAAAATCCGGGTTCATATCTACCAACACTATTTCATGATTTTTCTGGCATGAATTGAATGCTGAAGTTTTCAAAACAAGCATGAAAATTATCATGTTGCTCAAAAACAATACTAGAGCGCATCCGAAACGTCCAATTTTCCATGACCCTTGCGCATAAATCAGGCTGAATTTGATCGATGGCATGGGTTATGTTGGCTTTGAGGGACGTCGTGGTTTGTGGCTTATTCACATACTCTTGCGATTTAATAAAACCCCACAAAAAAAAGTCTACGTGTGGCACATCTTGTTGAAACCACATGTCGTTGGTGTCCAGATTATCCAACTCAGGCCAAAAAAAGTTGGCAATCATCGACCTATAGTGCTCCAATTATTGAATATAATATTAATTTCTAGTGAGTTATTATACATTATGAACCCAGTTCGCTGACCAAGATTCGCACAGGGATAGAGTTACATCCACTATTCCAGACTACCTATGAATCAGGTAGGCAAAACAAATATTATAAATATAAGCAAAATGCAATTTCATCCGTTCTGTTTGCCGAATTCATCTTGTTAATGCTGAAATAAAGTTTTGTCTAAAAAGTATTTACGTATTCAACAATATGTAACTGGCAGAGTCGTTTGACCTATTGGTAACCTCTAGACTAGAGGGTCAGGTAGCTCTTCGTCACTTTGATAGATTTCCTGAATGTTGAATTTGATATAAGGGTTACTTATAAGAGTTACTTGGCTGCCTAAAGAATGTTTCTGGATGCAGTCCACTTATTTGCATATGTTTCAGTTGAATGCTGACATGCTATTTGACTAAAATGGGCGGGAGCCCCATCAGGCAAAAAAAACATATCCCTTCTGACGTCCAAAGGAACTTCTTCCAGCAGAACTGGATGCACTTCTCTTAAAAATTGAACGTATGCCTCACCATTCAATCGAGGAGGTAGAAAATGAGGCCCAATTAAATCATCCCCAATAACTCCATAACCAATAACCAATAACCATATTCTTGTAATCGTTGATGAAGTCGAGCAAATATTCTATGTGAAGGATGCTGCCGTTGAGGATACATTTCAGCATATCTTCTAGAAGCTTCTAACCCATTTCCCTGCGATAACGTCACGCTGATTTAATGATTCACTCTATTAGTGCACTAAAAGGTATTCCACAAAATTTCACGAAGTTCTTGCCGTTATTTGTAAAATACGAAGTTTTGTCAGAGAATAGGAAGTAGGTATTCATCTTCAAAAAAAATAATAATGCGTGTCAAAATCGGTATTATCAATACGCTTCCTATGCCTACTCAATACGGTTATGAATAATTATCAGTGACAAATTTCATTTCAAGTTCTCTTTGTATATACGTTTAGAAAATGTTTATTGATTTGTTCGGCTCATTTGTATGATATCGCCCAATTAAATACCAGCCTTAGATTTATGAAAAACTTGGCAACACTGCTTACAATATCTCCTCTATTCCAACATCGACAGTCAGCACGTCAGAAACTGTGGATGGAAAAGCGTGGCTAACTTCACACTAATTTGAATATCGATACTTGGGACATGGCGTCCGGAACGTAGGTCTTGCAAAGAAACTGACAACGGATCCTTATTTCGGACAGTTCTTCTAGGAGAAAACGACCAACTCTCTTTGACCCTATCTGCTCAGTTTATTATTCGATTGGAAAGGGACCTGGAGGAGCTCTCATGGCGGGGTCAGTTCTATTCAGATGAAACAGTATTGAATCGTATATTTTTTAATTGGATGGTAATTGGCAATTTTTATGTATTTTCCTATTATGATCTTTGTACTTCATTGGGAACAGTAAAGATGAAATTATTTGAATTGAATTTCCTAAGGGGAGTTATTTTTTTGAATTGTTACGTTTCCATATAGTAAATCGGAGACGAAAGAAATGGACACTTTGTTTTACACATGTTGCCATACAATTATAGATATTTATTGAAATCTTTCTTTTTCTTGGTATTTTTTTATAATCAAAATGACGAAATAGGAAATCTCCAGCTCCTCTCAGCGTGCTATTTGCTGAGAGGCGCAACAATGAGGGTAAGGGTCGTAAGTACAACAGGAGAATCTGAAATGAAATGGATCCTGTATCAGGAAATTTCATTAGAATAAGGTGTTGTATAATGTATAGGCAAAAGACATCTTGGATACTTGGGGAAGTTTAAGATACTGAATAATTCACTCCTATGCTTGTTTCCAATCAGAGTGCAGAATGAATGAAATAAATGAATGAAATCAAAACATTTATCAAAATAGA